GTAAGATGTATAGTATAAAATACCTTTACTTTTTTTTTTTTTTTTAGTATATGATTTCTCTAATTTCCCCACATTCAAATTGACAAGGACTTTGGCAGTATATACACTGAATTCTAATCTTGCAGAAAATTTATTTCTAAGTGAGTTAGCCATAAAGCCAGGACAAAGCATTATTTATTCCTGAAGCGCATATCATAGAACTACTGAAATTACCAGCTGGACAAAACTTTGCTCCGAATGCCTTCAAGGCATGACTGGCTGGCTTGAGTTGTGGGGATCGAACCACAGCAACCTGAGCCTGACTGCTTTGTTGAAGCAGCCACTTAAAGAACTGAGCTAAGGGGCAGGCCCCCAAAACTTTGAAGATAACCCAATCAATTGATAGATGAAGTCTTGCACAGCATAATGTTGGATTTTGCTTCCTAATCTACTCTGCCAGTCTATTTCTTTCAATTGGTGAATTGAGTCCATTTACATTGATGGCTATAATTGAGATGTACCGATTTATGTTTGAAATGTTATTTACCTGCCGTTGTATACTTTTTTTTCTCCTGTGCTTAACTGTTTGCCCTATTTGGTGGGTTCTTTCCATTCTCACTCATGGAGTTGTGGTCATTTGGATTCCGCTCTAGAATATTTTTTAGTAGTCTGTGTAGGGTTGGCTTTTTCATCATGAAATTCTTCAGTTGTTCTTTTTTTTTAAAGAACATTTTTTTTTAAAGTTTATTTATTTATTTAGTGTGTGTGTGTGTGTGTGTGTGTGTGTGGCCAGATCAGCCCACCAGGGGGTGGGGCTGGCTGGCATGTGGTGCTGGGGGATCGAACCGTGGTCCCTGTGCTTTGCTAAGCTTGTTCTAAGTAGGTGCTTTAGACCACTGAGCCATCTCACCAGCCCCTCTTCAGTTGTTCTTTGTCAAGGAAGTACTTCACTTCTCCATTAAACTTGAAAGAGAGTTTTGCAAGGTATATCAGTCTGGGTTGGAATTTGTTTTCTTGAAAGACTTGTAGTACTTTGCTCCACGCTCTTCTTGACTTGATGGTTTATGAAGAGAAATCTGCAGTTATTCTGATGGTTTTTCCTTTAAATGTGACCTGTTTCTTTTCTCTAGCAGCTTTTACTATTTTGTTCCTGTGCTGAATTTCTGGGATCTTGATTATTATATGTCTGGGTGTGGTTTTAATTGGGTGGATGTTATTTGGAGTTCTATATGCTTCAGTTACCTGAATGTCTGATTGCTGTCCCATATTTGGGAAGTTTTCTGCTATTACTTCTGCCCATATTCTTTTTATATCATTTGTACTGATTCCTTCTTTCTCATTGATGCCTATTAGTCTTAGGTTATTCATCTTTGCATTGTCTTGCAGATGCTGAATTATTTTTTTCCTGCATCCTAGTTGTTTTTAAGAGATCTTTTCTTACCTTATCACTAGCTGCAACAGTGTCTTCAAGGTTTGAAAGTCTATTTTCACTTTCATTCAGTTTTGCCAGCTTGTGATTAAGGTTTTAATTTCCTGTATATCTCTTTGAATCTGCTTCATGCATTTTATTTCTTTCCTATATTGCTCATTCAAGGATTCCATCATTTTTCTATTCTCTATTTTTTTTTTTATCACTGTCTTCTTTAGAAGCACTTAGTAATTCTTTCACTATAGGTGTTTCTTTTTTTACTTCAGGGATTATTTCTGATGATTTTTTCTATACCTTTTTGCAGTTGTTTCTTTACTTCAGACACTATTATTTCAGAGATATCAGGTGTGTGATTTTCAATTTCTTCTATGCTATTGTCCCCTGCATTTATTTTGGGTGGGCTCAGGGCCTGAGAATGCATTTTTGTCCCTTCTCTTTGTCATATTGTATAGCACTGTCTTCTGACCTTTGGTGTAGAGATTTGGTACAGTTATTACCTAAGCAGCAGATCCAGATCTACAGTTCAAACTCGTCCAGGTGAGTGTGACTTGGGTCTGGCTGCTGTGCTCCACTTCTTCCTGTTGCAGCACTTGGAAGTCAACCCACTCTTCCACTCTGGCAAGATGTTCTGCTCCTAGATTAGCTGGATGGGTCTTGCCTCTAGCCTCTCTGCAGGGGATTCTTCTGCAGGGGTCCACATACACCTGGCCTGGCCTGGGTGCTGGCTCAAATGAGGATTCGGTGGGCCAATGAGTGGTCCCACACATACACCAGGCCTGAAAGCTAGCTAGAATGAGGATCTGGAGGGACCCAGGCAGCCCCACTCACATGCCAGGCTTGGGTGCTGGCTGGAATGAGGATCCAGAGGTCCCTGGGAAGCCTCACTCACACAATGGCCTGGGCACTGGCTGGAATCTATGGTGGATATTTTTTGTGCATGTTTATAAAAGCATCTCTTCCGTTTTTCCAAGTGCAGTTCTTAGCTTTGCCTAACTTCTGCCTCTCTTGGCCATTATGTGATGGGTTCACTAGACATACCCACAGCACCAGTTATGCCCTTAGGCCAAATGAAATAGATCACCTCACTCAGTGTTGGTCCCTTAGGTGATTTACTCAGGTCCCATTAACTGACATCAAAGTCAGGTTTATGAGAGAACACCAACAACAACCTAAATCCCAGTAGTATGGAGGTACATGACAAAGTCCCAAAATCACTATTTCTCTCAAATGTTAAATAATTCACTGAGGCATTTCAGGTACAAGCCTCCAGCAAGAGTTATATTTGAACAATTAATGAAGCAGAGGCCAGACAAAAGACTGCAGTGTAGAGAAATAAATTAATGACTTCTGAAAGAAGTATAACAAATAATGACCTTTTCACATTAAGAAGCATGTAAGACACTCCAACATACCAATGACTTACTATTAGATCAAGTTTGATTACAGAAAATAGCCTGGAACTATGTAACAGAATTAAACCCTAAAAGTATTTGTGAATTTTACATATGTGAATATAAAACCTACTTATGCTATTTGGAAAGTTTTTATACTTATAATGTGTACCTACTCCCAAAGTTCTTTTACTCAGACTGCTAACATTACACTGACCATCTACCAAATATATTATAGGAAGGACCAGAAACAATGCAGTTGTTTGTTAGGTGAGAAATTACAAATATAAAGTAACATGATGATACAGCATGTACAGATACTAACTTCTGAATTGTAGAATGGCTGCATAAAAACAGGACATTAATCCAAACACTTCCCACCTAGAAGATTTTAAGACAAATTTTAACTTCAGCAATAGCTATCTCTTCTGCAAAACTAGAATGATTCACTTAGGCAACAAATAAATATCAAACACCAACCATGTATCAAGTAGTACTTTGCAAGGGTTATTAAAATAAAATACAGCTGGTGTTCATTATGTATGTGTAATTACCCAAATTACATACAGATGATTGACAAGGGAGGGCCAAAGTCAGCAAGCTGAAAAATCAATGGAATTCCTAACTGGAAAGAGAGACATGTGGTTAGGTTCACTTGCTATCCAGGGACTAATGGAATATTAGTATTCACTCTGGATTTTCTCTAGTAATCTCAACCGAACTTAACCTTAAGTCTCCTACAAAATCTATATCATAAAATTTTGAGTTCTAATTCAATAGCTTTTGAATTAAAGGAATTAGGAAATGTGTATATGTACTAAAGATTTTCCAAGCTGTTTTCCACTGATAGTTTTTTTTTTTTTTAAATTATTTGTGTGTGTGTGTGTGTGTGTGTGTGTGTGCACCAGGGGGCAGGGCTGGCTGGCATATGGTGCTGGGGGATTGAACCGCAGTCCCTGTGCTTTGCTAAGCTTGTTCTAAGTAGGTGCTTTAGACCACTGGCCCATCTCACCAGCCCCAACCCCCCCTTTTTTTTTTGGCAGAACCAGGAATTGAACTCAGGCCCTTATACTTTGCAGGCAAGCATTTATTCTACTGAGCTATCTTCCCAGGTCCTCCACTGATATGTTTTTAAAGATTTTTTTTTTGGAACTGAGGATTGAACTCAGGACCTTGTGCTTGCCAGGCAAGCACTTATTCTCCTGAACCATCTCCCCAGCCGCCCTTTAAAGATATTCTTATAAGAAGAAATTTTGTTGGGACATTAATTTGATTAACTAGTCAAATCTACAACAGAAATAACTTCTTTGGAAGATATAGGAAGATGAAAAGACACATGAGATTTCAAAGAGAGAAGAGCTTCAAGTTAGAGCCTTGACTTTCCCCATTCTCTAGCTGTATCACCTGAGAAGTCTCAAGGTTTTGGAGTCTCAGTTGTCACAAGAGTAAAATAACTCTCACCTATGGCATTACAAGGATCAAATAAGATAATTGTCCCAAAAAATGATTAGTAACCCAAAAATATAAAGCTAATATAAATTGCAGGATAGGTAGAAAGTAAAAAATGATCCCAAGATAGCCCTTCAAGGGAAGACACTTGTATGGTTAAAGGTCTACAGAAGGGCAGAGCCTAGAGAAGTGATCTGGAGCCATGACAGTAACCATTCTTTGCTTGTTTGTTAGTGAGGAAAGCTCACTAGACATTAGAACTGGCAAGGAAGAGACATCTCTAAATATTATAGAAAAACACACTGATAGACTGCTAAGAATATAAAAAGATTAAGATAGTTATATATTAATTTCTCTTAGTTTATTGGAAAGAAAGGTTTGTGCTAATACTGTTTGGGCAGTTATATGCCTATATACTGTATTCTGAGTAACTAATTTAAATATAACAATACACAATACATTAACCATTGTTCCTTATTACCCTGTTTTAAAACTATGTTTTATTTTTTCTCTTTAAAATTAAAAAAAAATGTGGATTGCTTTTTCAAGTAAATCAATAAAGTTGATTAGCCATAAATCAAAATTTCTAGAAATCATTCCTTTTATGAGGAAAACTTCCTTGTCATCATGCTTTTAGGGTGATTATAATTTAACATGCCAAGTCACCTGAACATTGTCACTTCTATCCATTGCCAAGCATACTGCTAGGACTAAAAAGTATGGCTGATGCACTGTTACTAAAAATATATTTAGTGTTGCATGAAAGGAGAGGTTAGTACTCCCCGTGACAAGGATGGAAGAGGCCTGAGGGCCTGACAACACGCATATGGTTAAGGCATTGCCACCTACTTCATGGCATCTAACCACTTTTTTTCACATTCTATAGGGATTTAAAGTTTGGCATATCAACAATTGTTGGAAAACATCTGTTTCACGTTATGTCTAAGGTGTTTGATCTTCAGACAGTGATGTTAAGCTCAAATGCCCATGTTATAGGGCAATAATATCATTAAGCTTCTCTTCTGGAGGATTAACAACTTAATTTTGCAGACCAAAAAATTAAAGAGAAAAAGAAGGGCTACAATGACAGCCAATATTTTGGCCTTAGCCCTTCAAGGACAGTGAGGACTCAGGACATAACAGAACCTGTATTATAACATCCTTTAACTCAGTGGTGTCCCAAATTTTCTGTTCTAGAAGATTATGGGGCTACAGAGGAAAGTGATCAGCAATGTACAGTGGGCCTAAGGAGAGTAACCTAGACAGAAAACATTCTCTCAGGCTTTCACAGAGAGCAAATTGGTCAAGCAATGGCTGTGACTCATCCACATGGCTGACACTGACAAAAGATCTACCAACTGCTGTACATGGTTTCAGGGTAAATCCTGAGGGGATCTGACTGACCTTGTGGGATACAAGTTACATTTTTTTGTTATACAGATATTGCTTTATCTTGGTCTTAAACATCCAGCAGAAAAATATAAACACGAGGCATAAAAAGTAAAGTCATATTAATATGCGGAGCTGTAAAAGGCTCAAGTCAACAAATTCTTGCTACGGAAGTGTTTATTCTACTGAGCTATCTCCCTGGGCCCTAAGAATAGAGTTAGCACGTATGCCTTTGAATTTACGTTTTCTTTAATGGAACCGGGGATTGAACTCAGGCCCTTGTGCTTGCCAAGGAAGACTTATTCCACTGAGCCATCTCCCTGGCCCTCAAGTCAACACATTCTGACACTGCCAGTTCCGTGGATAACCCACTACTATTATGAACAACTGGACTACACTGAATTATTTTGCTGAATTCATGCACCTACAATATCTGAATGGCAATGGAACACCCATTTCTGACAAAACTAAACAAAAAAGGGGGATATAAATGAAGGTCCATTTTGTAGTGAAAAAAAAATATATATATATTTACACTCCAAATAATGTTTTATTTTTTAATTTATTTTATTGAGAAACAAATATCAATGAGATACTTTCCAAGCTGATTAATAGGACATTTTCAATAATTAATCATTGCACATTGTTATCTTCTCAGCGGTTATCCACAGCACAAGAAGCAGCCAGGACATCCCATCCAAATACTACTACTACAAATCTTCCTCTCACTGAGCCAAGAGAAAGCAGCCATACATCTATCCTAACTATTCTGTATATACAAATACAAAATGGTCCTTCCACTGTATCCCCTCTCTCCAGTTCAGTCCTGTCAGAGATGGGTATTCTATTGGCTGTGTGTGTGTGTGTGTGTGTGTGTGTGTGTGTGTGTATATACATATACACAAAATAGGATATATAGCTACTTTCTCTTAGTTCAATGAGAAGAAAGATTTATACTAAAAGTGTTTAGACAAGATATCATGTTTGCATCTTATACTCTGAATATCTACTATGAAGACAACAATATGCAATGCATTAATTATTGTAACTGCCCTACTAACCTGTTTTAAAACTGTCTCATTGCTATTTCTTTCTCAATAAAATTAATTTTAAAAAAATCCTTAAAAATACATGTAGTGATTTTTATAAAATAAAACTGAAAATTTTAACTTCATTTCATATAGAGCAAAAATGAGCAATACATACTTATATACTTATAAATTTATGTTTTTAATCAGTACGCATTTGTAATACATAATGATCACATTTATTGTGTAGAGTTGGTACATGTATACAATACATCATAATAATTCTTTTTTCTTTAACACCTACCCCAGCCCTCCTTCTCTGCTTCTTCCAATTCAGTCCTTTGCCCAAGTAGAAATGAAAGTATTTGATACACATGTGTGGGGAAATTTATCATATATTTTCACCTATCATGGAATCAACAAATGATAAAGACCTAAACAGTGATTCCCACTGACCACTATATAGTAAAAGATCAATGTAGACAGCAGTGACAGGGCTGGGGTCCTGAGTTCAATCCCTAGTAGCACGAGAGAGAGAGAGCAGAGAAAAGAGAGAAGAAAGAAGAGAGAGAGAGAGGGAGAGGAACAATGCTACAGGCTAATTTCTTCTTACCATGAGTAGATCCCACTGACCATGTCGTAGTTCTGACACACAGTGTCTGTGCTGCTAGGCCCAGCTGCTTTAGAGATCAGTAGCACCACCAAGCCCCTCAACTGCAGGTTGTGCCGGCTCTCGTATACAAACCCCCTGCCAACAAGTAGAGAAAGATGGTTAATAGTGCACAAAGTTCTAAAACTGGACAACTGGACTTACTGAAAAGAAATAGGGTTGAGGGAGGAGACAGTTAATGTGAGGAATTAATAACTTCAGGAGACAACTAGAGGAGCCCACTTTTGGGGTCTTAAAGTGACCCTCATGTTGTGAGGCTTGATGATCTGGTTCCTGCACTGTCTTGTCTCCCCACTATCTGCATCCTATTGTATAACCATTCATTCATTCATTCATTTATTCATTCATTCATTCATTCTATAATGTGGAGGGTCTGGTAAAGGCAAGCATTCTAGTACTGAGCTATAAAACTGTCCTTTACCTTGTAATCTTAATCATTTCCTCTGATGAGTGGAAGCCATAGTTTTAAACTGATTTGTGGTAGTCGATAGTAAGTGAAATGAAAGTTATAAATCTTGGATGAAATGATAATATTGGTGATGACAGTGGTAAAGGAGAGTGGTTTAAAAATACCTCTGTCTTCATACATAGAAAAGAAGCTCAGAGAAGGCTTAAAGATTTAAAAATGCATTCAAATAAATGGAAATGAATGCTACTAACAAAAATCTTATTTCCTAGTACATAAGGAAAGCAGTAATACAAATAAGGGCTTTAATTTAGAACATCTTTATTTTTATATAAAAGGAATTAATTTCTATGATTTTTGCTATAACTAGGGTGAGAAATACTTCAAAAGGAACAGAATTTCTTTCTAGGAGGAAGGTTTTTTTTTTTTTTGTTTGTTTGTTTGTTTTTTGTTTTTGCGGAACCAGGGATTGAACTCAGGACCTTGCGCTTGCCAGAGAAGCACTTATTCCACTGAGCTATTTCCCTGGCCCCTCAGAATTTCTTTCTAGTTATTTATTTGGTAATATGAAGACAAGGTCTCTCTATATATTCCAGGCTGGTCTCAAACTCACTATGTAGCCCAGGCTGCCACTGCATTTGTAGTGATTCTCCTGCCTCAGCCTGTTGAGTGCTGGGATTACAAGTATATGCCACCACACTCAGCCACATTTTCTGTTTAATATATTGCAAATGGTTGTAATACAAGAACTAAATGAAATCACTAAATTTCTCAAAATAAAAAATGGGAAGGTCTGGGAATGTGAAATCCCTGGGTTCAAGCCCCAGTACTTGAAAAAAGAGAGGAGGGGCAATGAAAGGGAGGAAAAAGGCCAAATTATAGCATGAATAAAAAAATGTGTAAATTTAGTTCTTGAATGTGGTTAAAAAAAAAAGCAAAATTAAAATCAGTATGCTAATACTTCATTGAATTATGAAGACTTCATTGAGCCATCCTAACCCTTTTTTTCTTTTTAGCCCCAGCCTTTTCTTTCTATTATTATTATTTTTTTTTTTTTTTTAAAATTATTTTGAGACAATGTCTTACTAAGTCATTCAGTTGCTTAGGCTGGGCTTGAACTGGCAGTCCTCCCGCTTCAGCCTCTCCAGAGTGCTGGGCATGTAGAGGTGTGCCACACACAGCTTCAATGTAAGTTAATTAAGTTAGCATAACCCCCAAAGGAGCTAATCTATTACTGAAAAAAAATCTTTGCATGCCAAAAGAAATCATCAACAGAGTGGGAAAATTTTTCATTACTTATTCCTCAGAGGACTATTTTTTTTTTCCAGTACCAGGGATTGAACCCAGGACCCTGCACTTGCAAGGCAAGTGCTTATTATTATCTAGAATATATAAAAAAACACACAAAAAAATCAGACTCCTGCCCAGATGTAGACCCAATTCAAAAATGGGAATCTGAAATAAACAGACACTTCTCAAATGAGTAAGTGCAAATGGCAAATAAATTAACATCACTGATCATTTGAGAAGTGCAAATTAAAATTATCCTGAGATTATATCTCACTCCAGAAGGAATTTATCAAGCAACTAAGCAATAACAAATGCTGGCGAGCCTAAGGGAAGGAAGGAACTCTTCTCCACTGCTGATGGGAGTGAAAATTGGTATCACTACTATGGAAATCAATATGGAGACTGTCCTCACAGAATTGACCCAGCTATTCCCCTCCTAGGTATTTTCCCAGAAGAACTAAAAGCATCATACCACAATATATGCACACCCATGTTTATAAAAACACAATCTGAAATAGCTAAATCTTGAAAACAGCCCAGATGTCCATCATTGGATGACTGGGCAAAGAAAATGAGGATTTTTATATGTAGTGGGATATTATCCTGTCATAAAGAAGGAAAAACTTGAGACACTTTTATGTAAATGGATGTACCTTGAGACCATACTATTAAGTGAAATAAATCAGACATACATATCTGAATATTACATTTTCTTTTTTATGAGAAATCAGAAGTACAAATAAGGACCAAAATACATAACAGACATTGGGGAAGCAGGAAGAAAATGTTCAAATTGGAAGGGGAACAAGGGAAGGGGTATGGAGAAAGGAAGGGAAAAGGAGAAATAAAATAGGAAAAAATGAAACAAAGCTTTTGTAAATAAGGAAGAGAAAAGGGGTTGAAGGGAGGAGAGAGAAATAGGGAAATAAAGAAGAATCAATATGTATTATGTACAGGTACAAATTCCCTACAATGAGTATGACTATTAAGTATATAAAAAGTATACCAATAAAATTAATTGTAAAAGATTTTTTAATTTCAAAAAGAAAAATCTCTTTCAAGTCTTCAAAAAGAAATCTCTAGAATGGCAGCTTTTAAACTTTCATTAGTTTCAAAATAACACAAACCTTTGAGTTCTCTGAAAAGTAACAGCTACTGTTTTTTTAACTGCTTATTTTTATCCTGTCTCACTCTTCTTTTATTGCTGGGACAAAATACCCAACATCCAAAATTAAGGAAAGAAAGGTTTATTTAGCTCGCAGTGGAAGTTTCATTCCATACTCAGCTGGCTCCAAGGCAGAGAGGAACATGACAGAGAGCGACCTTTCATGGTGGTGGCAAAGAGCAGAGAGCAAAGGGAGTGGGAAGCAGCAGCGAGATCAGAGACCCTCTTTCCCATGGGGCCCCACAGAGCCTGCAATGAAGGGAGGTGAACTAGAGTGGTGCTACAGACAGACACTCAGAACAGAAGCGGGCCAGGTGGGGACACCATTTCATTTCAAAGGATTCAGGACGAGCCACAGCAGCAGAATGGTCCTGGGCCGCTTCACTGACAATGTCCTGGAGTGGAATGAGGGAAGAACCATCGAGGCACAGTAGAGTGGGGGTAGTTGGGAAGCAGACTGGGGGAATTCTGAGAGGCAAGACCAGGGGTCACCCAGACTGCTCCAGTGGCAACCAAAAGCCAGTCTTAGCTTTCAATACAAAGGACTGGAAGGTTCTGGTCTGTGACAAGAGGAGGGGCCTTCACGCAGTGGCATAACAGGCAAGCAGTCTTGGCCTACGGTGGAACAAGGACATTCCCCCTGCCCAACAATCAATGTATAAGAGGAACCTCTGGTGTGGAACAGAGAAAGCTCAGGAAGGTCCAGGAGGAGCCACCTGTACACAAGTTTGGGAGTGACCCCAGGCCTCTCCAGGGGTCACCACAGCAACTGGGAGAACACTGTAGAGACGACAACAGTAAGGCGAAGTGGACATCCAGAACATGCCAGCTAGAGACCAGTCCTAGCCCCACATCTGGAGGGCAAGATTAGTTCTATACCCAGCACAACTCCTACTGTAACTCTGACAGGGTTATGCAGCACATTCTAGGCTCTGACTTGGATGCAGAATTATGGACAACAGATGAACTTCATTATTTTTCTTTTTTGTTTGTTATTTGTTTTTCTTTTTCTGTCTGTCTGGCATGGTTTTTTTTAAAAAATTAATTAATTTATTTATGTGTGTGTGTGTGTGTGTGTGTGTGTGTGTGTGTGGCCAGCTCAGCCCACCAGGGGGCGGGGCTGGCTGGCATGTGGTGCTGGGGGATTGAACCGTGGTCCCTGTGCTTTGCAAAGCTTGTTCTAAGTAGGTGCTTTAGACCACTGAGCCATCTCACCAGCCCCTGACTGGCATGTTTTTTAATTTTTGTTTTTACTGTTTATGTTTCTTACCTTAACTTCTGTTTTGTTCTATCATCTTCTTCTCTTCCTTTAACTATCTTTCTTGATTTTTATGAAATTTATATGGAAATGAACAGTCTCTTTTTCTGGTTCACTTTACATATATATAGTAATATGTAGTATTTAGTACAGGGTCTCACTATGTAGATCGGACTTGTAGTGATCTTCCTGTCTTCAGCCTCCCAAGTGCTGGGATTACAGATGTGCACCACCATGCCCAGTCTTAATCGAGTCCTCAGCACCCCTGGGTGCAAGGCCAGCACGGCATGCCGGGGATCCAACCCCAGCCCCTTTGCTCTGCCTAAGCCGGTGCTTTAGTCTTCTGAGCTATCTGGCAGGCCCTATACTTCAATATTCTTTTGCTTGGTTTTTCACTCTTTCTCTCCTGCACTCTTCCCCAGTTTTCCCAAACTTGGGTTATGATGCTTTGCCCTCCAGCCTGGCTTCTATTTTATTTCTCCTCATTCATCTGTTTTATCCCCATCACTATTGCTTCTTCTCTATAATGCCCCTCTGCCATGCCATCCTGCCATGGAGCGAGCCAAGTGTGAACTGAAACCTCTAGAAACTGTGAGCTAAATAAACCTTTCCACCTTTAACTTTGGATGTCAGGTATTTTGTCTCGACAATGAGGAAAGTAGCAAAAACATATAATGGAGTACCATTTTGCCATAAAGATAAGCGAGTCATTTTTAGGACAACTGATATATTTTGAGATCACAAGGTTAAGTGAAATAAAACAAACACAGTCTTGAACATTCCAAGGCATCTCTTGTATGAGAAACCCAGTGTAAAAATAAAGAGCAAAATAAAACACAGGTAACAGGCAGTAGGAATACAAACTGTTCTCATAGAGGCTGGGGGTAAGAGGTGGGAGAGAGGGATAAAAAATAAAAATGAAAAGGAACTGGGGTGCTTTAGTACAACTCTACACAAGA